AGCACAAATGATCTTTTCATCATCTAATACCTTCTTCTATTTCTTTCTTTTAATATCTTTCCCCTGGACATTCATTTTTTTTGCAGCTATTGTGATTAGGCTTATTTTCCTCATTTCTTTATTAACCTGCTCATAATTGGTGCACAGGAAATTTACTGAATTTTAATGTTGATTTTTGTATCCTACTTTGTCAAAAGTGTTTCGTAGATCTAAGAATTTTACGGTGGTTTTTTTGGGTCCTTTGGGGGGGGGTCCGGTGGTGGGGCCTGAACTCTGGGCCTGGGCGCTGTCCCTCAGCTCTTCACCTCAAAGCTAGCACTCTACCACTTGAGCCACAGAGCCACTTCCGTCTTTTTTCCCCCCTACTTATGTGGTGCTGAGGAATCAAACCCAGGACCTCATGCATTCAAGGCAAGTGCTCTACCACTGAGCCACCTTCCCAGCCCCTTTTGGGTCCTTTTAAGTATAAGATCATATCCTCTACAAATAAGAGAAATTTTGATTTCTTTTTTTTCTATTCATATCCCATTTATTTCTTTCCCTTGTCTTTTTGCTCTTGCTAAGAATTCTAGTACCATATTGTTTAGAAATGGGGAGAGCATGAATCCTTGTCTTGCAAAGGGAAAGAATTACAGAATAAAATGGAAACTAACAGAACAGGAGAAAACCTTGCCCAAATAAAGGATTAATATCCAGATAAAGGATTAATATCAAATAAAAGATTAACATCCAGAATATATAAAAATCTCCATAAGAATAATTTATCCAACTAAAAACTGGGGAAATAAATTAAGCACACAATTACCAGGAGAAGAAGTACAAATGGCTAATAAGTATAAAAAAAATTCAACATCCCTAGTTATAAGAGAAATGAAAATTAAAAACAAGAGAAATGAAAATAAAAACATCCTTCAGATTCCATCTTACTCCTAGCAGAATGACTATTATCAAGAGGAAACATTTTTTTAAATGCTGGAAAGAATGTAGAAGGTAGAGATGTAGTAGTTCAGCCACGATAGAAATCAGTATGTGGGTTCATAAAACACCAGATAGGATATGTTGGAAATGATCTGTACAACTTGGGGAGGGGATTATGGGAAGGGAAAGAGGGAGAAAAATGAGGGAGGGGTAACAAGTTAGACAAGAAATGTACTCACTACCTTACTTATGTAACTGCAACCCCTCTGTACATTGCCTTGACAATAAAATTAAAAAAAAAAAACTAGATAGAGACATTGTCCAAAAAGAAATGTATTAATTGCCTGCTCATGAAATGATATTCCATCTGTACAATGCTGTAATAATAACAATAAAATTATATTTTAAAAAACTCGATAGAAACAAGTCTAGCATATTGTTTAATACAATGCATCATCTATTCAGCCTTTTTATGTTTAATAATTAACAAACCTAAGACAGGGTTGTACTTTTATTGTACTCTTTTTATTTTTTCCATATATTTTCAAGTCCCTTTGAAACCATCCTAAAAAACCACTTTCAGGTTGAGTCAGGCATTCTCCGTTTCCTATGATTTTAATCCCAATATTTGTTCACATAAATTTCTATTTGTTATTTTAAACTATCTTGTTATTTTGATAATTAACACCACAATTATTTTGATAAAAACACCATAGATCTACCTAATCTTTGCATAAAATCTAATGTATTGTATTGAACAATATGCTAGACTTGTTTCACACCTCTTAGCTCAAACAGTTGGTGGGATAGTCATCAATTTTCATGTAACCCATTAATGCTTTGCTTTTTTAAAAAATGGATTATGTGCTTGAATAAACAAAGAATCTATGTCACAATCACACACTGTATAAAAATGTTAATTCGGGGCTGGGAAGGTGGCTCAGTGGTAGAGCGCTTGCCTTGCATGCCTGAGGCCCTGGGTTTGATTCCTCAGCACCACATAAGCAAAAAGAAAAAAGCTTGGCGCTGTGGCTCAAGTGGTAGAGCGCTAGCCTTGAGCTGAAGAGCTGAGGGACAGCACCCAGGCCCAGAGTTTAGGCCCCACGACCCGACCCCCCCCAAAAAAAAGTTAATTCTCCTCAATAAAGAGACACTCAGATGCAAAAACCAAACCAAACCAAACCAAAACAAACAAAAAAAAACTAGATAGAACCATCATTTGATCCTTCTGTACCACTCCTGGGCATATTCCTGAAGGAATGTAAGTTGGTATACAGCCAAGATGCCTGTACAACCATGTTTGTAGAAGCACTGCTCACAACAGCCAAAATATAGAATCAGCCCATGCGCACATGCGCGCGCAGTCACACACACACACACACACACACACACACACACACACAAGTGTAGTATTGTCTGGCCAGAAATAAAAATATATTGTTTGCTAAAAAACTGGTAGAACTAGAGATAAATTAATCAAAATAAATCAGACTGAAAACGTTGCACCTTACAGATTGCACCTTACATGTGTGGAATATTGTCCTTAAATGAGTGACAGAAATATAAAACTGGTTCCATTTGTGGGTGAAGGACAAAGGGCAGGGTGAAGGAAGATGAATATAGTTGAAGGGCCTTATAGATATATATGAAAATAGAACAATTGAACATGTTTAAATTATTTTAAGAAGGGGGGAAGTGAAGGTAAATGGTAGAGAAGGTAAATTTGATTGAGGTACATTGTAGACATTAGTTGTGCTCATTTGTGCAGTTGATATATGCTAATAAAAGGCAAGAAAGAAAATAGTATTTTGTATTTATGGGCTCTGAAGATCAAGTCTTACTGTGTAGATAAGAAGGACTTCACGCATAGTGATTAGCTCAGTCCCACACATTCAGGTTGAAACAAAAACTCTGGCTGTCTTCCTGAAACTTTATTATGAGCAGGGCCAAAATTTAAGATCTGATTCAAATGACCCAGCTGTCACTGGTGACTAATTCAGGGCCTATCATTTTCCTTTAAAGTATGGTTAGTTGAGCTTTAAGGAAGACTGTAGAGAGGAAGGGTAACACTATTGACATGTACGACAGTTAAATAGATATATTAAAAGTTTTAATTTTTAATTAAAATAGAAATAAAAATAGAAAGCTATGCAACCATAGTACATAATTATGCAGTTACTTTACATCTGAAGTTATGTGTTGGTCTCAGTAGTGAATGAGAAGAAAGTTACTGCATTTTTATTGATGCAACAGAAACACCAAATGTGAAAAATTTAGAGAAGATTTGAGTTAGTAATACTACAAGGTATCTTTGTAGAATAAAATGCTAAATCACTGATAAAATGTATCTAAATGTTATTATTGAATATTTTTTAAATTTAACGTTTTAACATTAACCTACTTGAAACTTGCATATGCACACATTCACTTCCTGCAACCAACTTCTGTATTGGAATTGGATATAGCTTACTCATACCACTTAGTTGCACAGGTTATAGAAGTAGAAAACATTTTGCTCTAGACAGTGTAGCACACTGCATCCCAGTACATTCTATGGGCAGAAACACCTAAACATTGCAGACTTTCTGATCACACAGTTGACAAGTTTGAACTAAGGACTTTAAGGGCACTAGCCTTACTGTGTTCGCTTGCATTTTCCCCGACTGCCTTGGTTCCTGATTCCACGTTGCTATTGTGTGGGTCAAATAATCCCTGGTCACAAAAATACCCCAGGGAATGACGGGAGTGGCTCTCCTGGCGTCCAGGTTATGAGTGTGGTCAGTCATTGCACATGCCTGAGGGATGAGCTATCTTTGCCGTGGTAGGTTTTATAATAGCCAAACGCAAAATAAAATTTAAAGGTTACACACAAAAGTAGAAATAAGTAAGAAAGTGTCATCTATAGAAGGCATATTCAAGACAACACTGAGATTCGTTTTATCTTTCTTGTCTCTAAAAAACCTATTTTGGACTAACCACAAATTTTCGAATTGCTCTCGGAGTTGTGACTATCTCCTCCCTTGTTGTCTTAGCAGTTAGTTTAAACTGTACTTTTGTCGTGCACATGCTGGATTTGCACATGTTGGATTTGTGTTATGAAACCATTGGGGAGGGGAGAAAACTTTCTAAAATGAGTTTGTACACGTATTCCTCTTTCATCTTTCCCAGTCTCTCGTTCCAGTTCACTCGTTTGGAGAGTGAAGCCTTAGGTTTGGGGCATTGTCACGTATCTTGTGGCCTTCCACTGCCACCGGGTACCTGGAGCAAGACTAAGCTAGCCCAGCGCGCTGCTCCGTGTGCAACTGGGTGCAGAAATCGTCCAGACTTCGAGCCAGCCCCAGGCATCTCGCAGGACGAGGTCCACGCCTGGCTGGCGACGCCTGCACGGGCGGATGCCCAGCGAGGCCGCTCGGTGGAGGATCGCGGAGCTGGACAGCCTGCCTTCCCAGACGTTTTCTTCCCATCCTTTGCCCCTAGGATTTTCTGAGGTTTTTTTTTTTTTTTCCCAAAGAGGACCGAGTAGGGGTCAACCCTGTGTGTTCTCTCCAGCCCGAGGAACCGGATCGCTGTGGAGAAATAAACTCATCAGAGCGTCCACAGACCAGCGGCGGTAAAATCAATTTCTAAATGAAGCTGTCAGGATTGCGAGCTGCACATTTCAGTGGGTGGCTACACCCAGCTACAGCATTGCATCCCCGCTCAGTCTCCCCGGGGACCCCCCAGAATGTGAATGCAGGGAAAGCACAGAGAGAGGGAGGAAGACAGGGAGAGAAGTAGCCAGCAGCTCGCACTGCTGGAAAGCCCTCTGGCGTTAGCAGGGAGGGAGGGAGAGATACAGGGTTGGAGCCAGGGTTCCGGGGGAGAAGTTGGGGGGGGTGGCCCTCTGCCACGCCACCCCCTCACCTCGACAGCTGTCCAGCTCTTGTAATTCATTGGCTTTCCCCACTCTGCCTCCCCCTCCACCCCCATCCCGTGCAGTTTAGGCCCCCTGCCCCACCCTCTCTAACCTAATAAGGCCATGCCGTGCTCTGGAGACTCGTATAAAAAGCGAAGTCTTCGCAGGGACTCTGCAGGACGCCGGAGAGAGGAGACCGGAGTCGTCCAGCGCCCGCAGAGAAAAACAGCATGGCCAAAGAGTGGGGGTACGCCAGCCACAATGGTGAGTGCGGCAGGCACAGAGGCCTGGGTCCCGGACACTGCTGGAGGGGCCTGAGATTGCTCAGAAAGGGGGATACTCTAGGGAGTACCCGGCGTCGGAGTGGGTCAGAATTAATATCCACTGAGCTTTTCAGGTGCTGACACTTGGTCTCCACTCCTAGATTCTTAGTATTTTCCTTGCAGGAAGCTCAGGGAAGCTCAGGAACTGGCTTTAGAAATCTCACCTCACCTTAGATGGAAGACAGCCTTCAGTTAGGTGGCTGATTGCACCTCAGTTTGTGAGGTAGACAACTGCATCACCTCTCTGAGGCAGATCACTGGTATGAGATCTCTACCTGGCCTGTGGCTTCTACCAAACTCATGGTAAAGGGAATACAGGTTGCCCTGAAAATTATAGCCACAAAGTAATGCAAAAACATCTGTGGCCAATAAAGTCCATCTCCCAAATGAGCCTTTTAGGCCACATTTCTGAGCCAGCAGGAAGAATACATGGAGTTAAATATAATCTCTGGGTGTACTGTGAAAGAAAAAAAAGATGCATTGGTCTTAAATGCTGCCTTGTATTGCCCAATCTGAACCCTGAACCCTTTCATAATCACTGTCTGACCTCTGTGTATTTTGCTGGTTTAATCAATTAGAAAAGGGTCGTGAGTTGTACTGCTAAGTATATCCCCTTAACTCTCTTTCTAGGTCCTGACCACTGGCATGAACTTTACCCCATTGCCAAGGGAGACAACCAGTCACCCATCGAGCTGCATACTAAAGACATCAAGCATGACCCTTCTCTGCAGCCGTGGTCAGCATCTTATGATCCTGGCTCTGCCAAGACCATCCTGAACAATGGGAAGACATGCAGAGTGGTGTTTGATGATACTTACGATAGGTCAAGTAAGTACAGTACTTAGGTAGAGGTACAAAGACACTTCCAAGGTTTGTATTGGCAAGACAGTTTATGAAAAGGCATAAAATCAGTGGGCAGAGGGAGTGCTTCATCCTTGAAAATGGAGATGACACTCAAATTGGCTTTTAGTTAAGGAACTATATGCATTGAAGAGGAATGTTTTGCATGCTGACTTTCACTTGGTTGCTGCAAATGGCCCCAGGCCCAAGCTACACATTGGTAACACACTCCTGAAATGGACAGTGGTGGCAATGATCATCCACATTAGCATTCTTTGGACACTCCTGGCTTGTGGCTGAGAGTTCTGGTGCTTCTTGACCATGGTCTGGAGAGAAAGGCTCTACTGGAAAGTCCCTCAGATTCCATTCTACAAAGCAAGAAATCAAATAGGCCCTTTCCCCTCCCCTCCTGCACCGAGTACCTGGGAGGAAGCCAATCCAGGGGAGAGAATAGGCCTTTGTTTGGGTCATGATGACGTGGTTCAGTGTTTTCATGGGCTTTATCTGAATAATCTCTTCTGATGAGAGTTTCTAAAGCCTCTACTTCTTCTTGGTAGTACTTGTGGATATGAAACTGGAAAAGTAACATGATTTAAAAAGTTCAACATATGCTAAGAAATCAGTGAAATCAATAAAGGTGATTAACAGTGCTTTATTTCACTGTGAGTTTATAATCTTCCTTTAATAATTTGATGTAACTGCACAATAACTGTTTCTGAAAACCATATTTTTAACAAAGTTGAAAATACTCCTGTTGACATAGTATATAAAGGAAAGTTTTAGTGGTACTCTAACCAAGAATGATAAAGTCATATTTCCTTCCTATTAGAGGGCTCCAAGCAAAGAATAAGAAGTTTGCATCTTCTTAGTAATTTCATGATGCTGTCTTTCCCCTACCCCCTTTACCACTGAAATCAAGCTCCATTTTGAAGAGAAAACAACATTAGGAAGCAGTTATTAGCTTGCATCACATGAAAACACCATTTTTGTACGCAAAAAGTCAAATATTAGTGTTTCATGGTTTATTCCAATAAATTGGACTCCAATATTCAGATGAGAACTATTCAAATAATTAGATTAGAAAAGTACAAATCAAACCACTTTCTCCCTTATGACCAAGCTCCTGCAGGTCTAGCATTATTCCTTTAGAACTGATCATGGTCCCCCTGCTACCCTTTGATTGTCATTTTGGCCTAGTTTTTATTGCTAAATCTTGATATTAGGGCTCCTACACAGTCTTCAATATTTCTTTTTTTTTCTTGGTTGGTCGTGGGGCTTGAACTCTGGGCTTGGGCGCTGTCCCTGCCCTCTTCAGTTCAAGGCAAGTGCTCTACCGCTTGAGCCACAGTGCCACTTCTGGTTTTCTAGTGGTTTATTGGAGATAAGAGTCTCACGGACTTACCTGCCTGGGCTGGCTTTGAACCACGATCCTCAGATCTCAGCCTCCTAAGTAGCTAGGATTATAGGCGTGAGCCACCGGTTCCCAGCTCTTCAATATTTCTAGAAGTTATCTGAGGCTTAAATGACTCCCTAGGCTAGATGAATTGAGACCAAATTAAGTGACAGTTTGAAATGTCTATGCAGGGAGCCAGGTTAATGTAACCAAGAATTATCAAGTTTACCAGCAGTCTACATTGGTTAATTTCCAGGAAATTTTCTGAGTTTTTCCATTTCTAATTATTTGGGAGATACCATGTAAGTTAGATGTGGATGAAAGTTCTTTTCTGTCATCTTAAGAAAAGTGTAATCACAGTAAGACAGGCAAAGGAATTTCCTTTTGCACAGTGTTTACTATGCCGGCTTGGTAAGCTTGCTAAGGTATGTAATCTTAGTTAATCTTCACAGCAGCTCTGAAAGTGTGGAATTATTATCACCTTCTTAGAGATGCAAAAATGGGTTCAGAAAAGTTTAGCAACTTGCTTGAGATCACACAACTATCAAAGATGGAGACACGAATGGAGCCTCAATCAATCTAGTCTGGCTCTTCTCAACTGCCCAGATCTGCCCACCACTGACCTGTTCTTTGGCCATATGCATCCTGCTTATCTCTCTATTTATTTATTTATTCGGTCATGGGGCCTGAACTCTGGGCCTGGGCGCTGTCCCTCAGCTCTTCAGCTCAAGGCTAGCGCTCTATCACTTGAACCACAGTGCCACTTCCAGCCTTTTTTGCTTATGTGGTGCTAAGGAATCAAACCCAGGGCCTCATGCATGCAAGGCAAGCGCTCTACCACTAAGCCACCTTCCCAGCCCCCAACCCCACAATTTTAATTTTACAAGTGTTAGACAAGACTTTCTATTGTGAGAAGGAGTGCTTGGGAATGACTATGTGCCAGACAAACTACTTGTCCCACTCAAGTTTATTCTTTAAAAGCACTCGGGTAGCACAGGGCTCTGTAAAAGCTATGTGAACTCACTGTTGACCCTCTTATCTGACTGTAGTGCTGCGAGGTGGTCCTCTCTCCGGACCATACAGACTTCGCCAGTTTCATCTTCACTGGGGCTCCTCAGATGATCATGGCTCTGAGCACACAGTGGACGGAGTAAAGTATGCAGCAGAGGTAGGAGAAACTGCCCTAATCGATTCTAGGTCTTACCCAGTGAAAACTGACCAATTAGAAACAATATCCATAGCAAGAAAACAACATGTGCTGCTTTTGCTTCAAGACTGATATTGGAAAATTACAGCATAAACGAGAATCTGCCAAACATGACAGACTAGATGACAAAGTATGGAATGATGCTGGGGAATATCGTGCATACGCATTTCCAACCTTATGTTAAGAAATTACATAGTTGTTGACATAACAAAAAGGCCGGGGTCCTGAAAGAGAACCCAGAATTATAAGAATAGCTAACACTTATTAAATGCCTACATGTTGTGTTCACTTGATCCCCTCAGCAACTCCATACAGGGGGTGGCAAATGAGGCAACCGAGGCATAGGGGCACATAGCTGATGAGTGCTAGACCGGGTATATTTTATTTTTTTAATGCAGCTTTGTTTCGGAGCTCATCATCTTATCTAATATCCTATACAGCCCCTTTACAAGAATAAAGCAATAGCATCTGCTAACTGATTAATGCTCATGTTCTAATCTCTCAGCGAAGGGGTGTGTGCATATGCATGTGCGTATGTGTAGCTTGTATCAAGGCAGGGAGTTACAAATGGAAGAAGGCCCATTCTCTACGTATCTCTTTATGAAGCCATGCCTGTAAGTAGGAATCCCTGCCCTAGAAGCGAGGATCGATTTCTTTCCCTAACTCACTCTTTTCAAGGTCAGGTTCTGGTCAGCATAGAGACAGGAACAGGAACCTGGAGGTACTTTGTGGACATTCTTTTCAGTGGAATCATTTGAATGCTTAATTGTTGGTTAGATGTAAAGCAACCCAGAGTACTTGACTGTAATCATTCCCTACAGCCCAGCTAGGGAGCCGGTGGAAAGATAATCATTGAGAAGAGCTTCCTCCACAAATAGGAAAGATGAGAAGATTTTTTCCAGATGTGGCAAAGGCTTTGAATTTGACCTTCGTGCATGGAATTATTTCATTCTGTTGATCCAGAATGAGATATTTTGTAACTACTTAAAAACTATTCTTTGGCCATTCTAAGTAACTCAATATGGGAAACTTTAACTGGTGTTCATGTTCTAAATTAAGATAAGGTTGCCACCAGGATCTAGACCTGTCAGTAAAGGGAGATACATTAACATTTTCCCCCAAATATTGCATGCTAATATTTAGAAATGTATCCACTTCTGTGACAGGGTAAAGTGATAACCTTCAGATGACATATTTTTGAGCTCTATTGTGGATCATTTCAAACCCAATTCCTTATTCCTGGGATTTACCTTATAAACTGCCTTTTATGCTTTTAGCTCCATTTGGTTCACTGGAATCCGAAGTATAACACTTTTGGGGAAGCCTTGAAGCAACCTGATGGAGTTGCTGTGGTTGGCATTTTTCTGAAGGTGAGGTGAAAAGTAACCATTTATATACTTTTTTTCTTTGAAAATTTAGTTCCTTATCAATGCTTAAAAGGCCATGAGTTTTTTTCTCTGTTCTGGCTTAAAGGACAAGTGTGTGTGTGTGTGTGTGTGTGTGTGTGTGTTTGTGTGTGCATGTTTGTGTGTATGTTAGGGACAGGCTTGTGATAATGGGGGCAGTGGAGGAGTGTGCTCATTATCTTTTCCCACTACTCCATTTTGACTGCACTGGAAACCAGCAAAGCTCATGCTGAGAACTTCTGTGAGGCCAAACGCCTGGCTGAACATCCCCTCAGATTAAGGTGGCCACCATCCACATGATTCCAGGCTAAGATAGCACCAGGAATGTGTGTGTTGTTCAGCCAACCTTGGTTTAAAGAGGACTTAGTGTTATTAACACATGAATTTACTGGTAACATAATCTAGATTTTAAGCCACAAGTGACAATCTGGCTTCTTTCTTTTTGAGTGACCTAATTTGTTTTATGTTCTGAATACATTGGGTCAATTTTAGCACTTGCATAGGAGATTGATGAGGCCTAAGACAAGAAGAGAATGAATTTGGTTTTGGATAAGTGAGTCTATTTTAGCTTTAACTCTATGAAAAAAAAAGTGGAAAGATGTTAAAGAGAAGGTCAAGGACACAGAATTAGATCAACATGTAATTTTGTGGTTTTGTACTTCAAAGGACTGGAGTCCCAGTTTAGACCAGAAAACATGTACTCTAAAATCTTGGAGGAGAAATAAACTTATGTTTTGTCCGGAGCAAGATATTCTGGCAGATTTATAAACACTAGTTGCATGTAGATAGATCAAAATCAGTTTGTAAGACCATCTTAAATTACGGAGAAGGGAAAAAAATGATGTTGGATTTCTGTTTTCTTTATAGATAGGGCGTGAGAAAGGCGAGTTCCAGCTTCTTCTTGATGCTCTGGATAAAGTTAAAACAAAGGTAAAAGAAAAACATCTTCCCTTTTCAAATAGAAAGCAGACTTCAACTTTCTTTTGCATTTTCAAGTAGTCATTAAGTTTGGTGACTGTATTAATCAAACATATCAAACTAAATGTCATTATGTTTGTATATATTAAGAACTTCCAGGATAATTTCACACGTATCATTTTATTTGGTTGTCTCAGCCTATCAGATAATGGCTTTGTTAAAATAGTAAGTGAAGGAGAAAGGAAGTGGCTGGCTTTTTCCTCTTTCCAACCATACTGATGCACAGTATCACAGACAAGGCTGGTCTTTTGTTTTGTTTTCTTATTTTTTGAGAGTTTCCCTTATATAGCCTAGGTTTGCCTCCAACTGTTGGTCCTCCTGCCTCAGTTTCCTCAGAGCGGGAACTGCAGGCGTGTAACACCATATCTAGCTGAAAGCTGGTCTTGTTAATCCTTGTCAGGAGGACCCATACAACTCTACAGTAGAGCGAGTCTTCTAGCTAATAGACAGATTTTTGTTGTCTTTGGAGCTATTCTAATTAGCCACTATTAAATTTAGCCACTATAAGAAGTAGTCTAAGTTTAACATTTAATAAAAATATAAGCTTCTTTTTCTAATGATCATCAAGAATCGAAACTTCAACTTAGATGAAATAATATTGGAACCTTTCAGATCCAACATGAGTTTGCCCTTGTATGAAGTGACAGAATTATAGTGCTACTGAGGGTAAAAACAATAAAGCAAGCGATATTACAATGATTGTACTGGATTAAATCACAGCATTAAAAACCAGGCTCCTGTCCCTTGGCCTTTTGTTTCTGAAAGGCCTGAAACTTATTATAACATTCTGTTTTATATTTATAACTTTCTAAGAACGGCTCAAGTCGGTAATCCTAGCTACTTGGGAGGTAAACATCTTGGAATAATGATTCAACGCCAGCCTGGGCGAAAAAACAAAAGTTTACATGATTCCATCTCAACCAACGGCTGGCTGCGTGGTCGATGTCTATTATCCCAATGAAGAAGGGAGTAGAATTCCAGGCCTGTCTGGGTATAAAGCCAGACTATATCTCAGAAAATAACCAACACAATCGAAGGCTGGAGGAGTGGCTCAGGTGGTAGATTGCCTGGAGCAAGTGTGAGAACCTGAGTTCAAATTCCAGGACCACCAAAAATAGATAAATAAACAAATAAAGGGTTTCTTTTTTTTATTTTTAACTTAATGGTGAGACTTTGGGAGAGGACCACGTTTATGTGCCCACGCATGCTCTCTGTGCCCGTGTTCTCTAGGGCAAGGAGGCACCCTTCACCCACTTTGACCCATCCTGCCTGTTCCCGGCCTGCCGGGACTACTGGACCTACCACGGCTCGTTCACCACTCCACCCTGCGAGGAATGCATTGTGTGGCTGCTGCTGAAGGAGCCCATGACCGTGAGCTCTGACCAGGTAAGCAGCAGCCAGATCCCCAAAAGCACCTGGACTTGCATTGCTGACTGGGTGTGGAATTTACAGATGCTGAATTGAAAATAGGTAGTTGATAAACCAGCACTTACCAACATGCTCAGCTAGAGATGTCAGCTAGCCCTGGTTAATTGCACTCAACCTGTTCAGCTTTCTCAAACTCGGCTTCCCGAGGGTACCCAGATTAATGCAATTGTTTAAAGGTGATTGTAATCATGAACAATGACTGACTGTATTTATGAGTTTAGACTCATGTAAGTCTTTGTTCACATGAAATGGTTAGGAGATAGGAGAGCAAACTCAAGCCTGGGAAGGTACATGGAATTAGAAAAGATTTAATATGTTAGTGAAGAGTATTGTATTTCTCCAGTTTAGCACATAAATACACTGAGACTCAGAAAGACCAAGTAGTTTACCGTGAATGCAACCAAGTATAGGATCCTCATTCCAGTTCTGTTTTGTCTTCTAATAGTTCTCTGCCCTTCTTCTCAGGCCTCTCTATTTCTTTTTACCCAAAGAATGTTCTAGCAATGGTGACTAAGAAGCTTTCAAGGAAAAACTATTTGTGAGAAACAAAGAGGATGTAGACATGGAGAACACAGTGAAACATTCTAGAATGTGCAGCAGATTTATTCTAATAGTAAAAAGAGTTCACCATTCTATTTCTTGCCTAAGACAAAAGATTTCTTCCAGTGAGGACCAAAATATATACATTGATATTCTTTTAATCAAAAGATCAGATCTGCTCAGGAGACTGAGGTCTGAGGATTGTGGTTTAAAGCTAGAACGGGCACAAAAGTCCATGACACTCTTATCTCCAATAAACCACCAGAAAAACGAAGTGGCTCAAGTGGTAGAGCACTTTGCCTTGAGCTGAAGAGCTGAGGGACAGCACCCAGGCCCAGAGTTCAAGCCCCAAGACCGACAAAAAAAATGTAGACTCTACTTTCTTTCTGCTCTTTAAAAATAATTGACTCCATGAAGTTACACAATGAAAGACTATTAAACTTATTCATAAATGCACCAATATGCTAAATTGCCATCACCTTCTTAAGAAAGTGTCTACTCCATACTGGACCTTGAAAATAAAATAAATAAATAAAGTGTATTACCCATACCAAAAATAAATGAATAAAATTCAGAAGAAACTCAGGAGAGGAAGGATTTGATCAGAGCCTTTGATGATCTTGGAGTAAATAAAAGAAGGGAGGTTTTACAACTGAAAAAAAAATTTATGAACTAGAGCCAGCTGCTCTGGACTGGACACTGGCGCAGGGTTCATAGCTTGCTTGTACTTCTTAGAAAGCCACTGGCTTCTCACTTGGTTGCATTGTGTGCCTGCTGGGTAAAAAGCTTTGCTAATGATCTACCCCTTTCCCTTGTAGATGGCCAAGCTGCGCAGTATCTTTTCCAGTGCTGAAAATGAGCCCCCGGTACCCCTGGTGGGGAACTGGCGCCCACCACAGCCCATCAAGGGCAGAGTGGTGAGAGCCTCTTTCAAATGAGGCCCTGGAATCGTGCCCTCTTCATGAAAGGAAACCTGGTCTCTGGAGAGCTTGGGTCACCGCCTCCTGGTGCTCCTCCGAGTATATTTCACTTCTCCACAGCACGAGAGGCATGTGGGTGATGTCCTACCAAGACATCACAGTTACGTTGACAAGATCTAATCTGAAAGCACGAGTTTCACACATTGCCTTTGTAATAATCATCTTTTCTATAAAGCAGTATTTCTAGATGGAAGGACAAAGGAGAGAATAACTAGTGAGTGCCATTTCTTTTCCTGGATCTTACATTTCCCAGAACCTTGTGTTTCCTGTCCTATTGTGATTGGTCCAGTTTTCAGAAGTAGGAAGGCTATATGTGAGAATAGAGGTATAAGAAGGTCATATAGCATCAGCTACAGATTAAAATGATTGTGGACACCAGGAATTGAAATGATCACCTATTTATCTCTTCCATAACATCATCAAGAAGTTCATCATTTACTCACACTTCAGCTACCACCACTCTGTCCTGGATTATCAGTGAAAGGAAAACACAGTATGACCAATTGTTTTAAAAATAGTTGATCCAGTGTTTGAGTTTCTTCTTCATAGAGATGGTTTTCTTTACCTGAAGCAGGGCCATTTTTTTTTAAATTTCACTACTTTAATCCTTGCATGCTTATTAAAATAAAAGCTGTCTGTGATAACTTTGGAATTCAAGGTTGGAGTGAATATTATCTAGAATAGAAGGAATGGACAATACTTGGAGCAGAGCAGTTGTACTGATCACCAATACCAATAAAGACACAGATGCAAAACAAAACAAAACAAAAAACCCTCAGAGGTTGTATGTTTAAAATGGAAAAAAATGTTATACATAACAAAAATGGAGTGAAACTGAGAATGATAAGCTCTGTGTGTGTGTGTGTGTGTGAGAGAGAGAGAGAGAGAGAGATAAAGGACTCAAGTTTGAGTTGGGACACTACATTCCCTAGTGAGGGAATGAGGTAGTGACAAAACTGTAGACTAAAGGAATGCACAGTAAGGATTTGAGAACATGAAATAGTTCCCAGATGGGGCTGGGAAGGTGGCTTAGTGGTAGAGTGCTTGTCTTGCATGCCTGAGGCCCTGGGTTCGCTTCCTCAGCACCACATAAGCAAAAAGAAAAAAGCCAAAAGTGGCGCTGTGGCTCAAGTGGTAGAGCGCTAGCCTTGAACTGAAGAGCTGAGGGACAGCGCCCAGGCCCAGAGTTCAGGCCCCATGACCGGACCTTCCCCCCACCCCCCAAAAAAAGAAATAGTTCCCAGACACTGCAATGTTGGTTAGGATTACTTATATTTATGGGCTTGGAATCCAGTGTGATTGTAGCTTTTATGTCATTTTTTTTATAAAGAGAAAAGCCCATATGTTTAAACCTTTTGAACATTTATAATCGCCACACTTAAAGACTAATTTTGCAATTAGTGGCTTTTATCATCTTTATTTCTTCACTGGTTAATACATTACCTACTTCAGTAAAATGGCAGCAAAAAGTTCATTACCATAAGGAAAGGAACACAGCATTGGGTCAGGAGAGTCCTGAGATTCTAAAAGCCAAGTCACGTGGCAGAGTCCTGCGAGGCTGCAGTTATTTAATAGATTACCACTTGGGTGAAGCAAAACCAGGTTGGTCAGTGTGAAGTGGCTGTGTTAATTAAATCCCTTGAAATTTAGAAGGTATGGAGCTTTGATCATTAGTGTTAATATACATGCTGATTCTCTCAAGGTACTTACTTGGTCATGTTAGTGCACTATAGTATATATATGCATATATAGACATATATCTATATATCTATATCTATATATGTGTCCAGGATTCACTCTGTGTGGGGCAGGAATATGGCCTGATGCCATTTAGGAGAGGCTATTATTCTAGTATACAAGTTGGAAAAACACTGGATCCAAGGAGCTGTCCCTAGACCATAAGTTTAACAAAGGCACTGGTATGAGTCTCACACATTGACATTTTCCATGTCCCCTAATGCTATGTTTCCCACATGATAAACACTCAGTGAATATTGAATAAATATATGACATCATGAATATAGAGGTGGCTAGGAAAATTGCTCATCTTCTTGAGCCATGCATTACTCAGCATAGTTGTTTTAAAGCTGGTTTATATGCATCTTGATTAGTTTAGAACTTCTTAGAAAATGATCTCCTTAAGTATTAGGTGGTGAACCTTCCAGCAGAACATATTCTGAGTAATTGCTGGTACTTATAATTATCAACCTACTGAAACCTTCCTCCCAACCTTCCCCTGACTTCACAGAACTGCAGCATCACAAATGTGCCCTGGAATGCTGAAGTCATACTTGCATCCTGGTCTTCCCTGGGAAAAACAGTCATACTTGAGACAATCATAGGCTACAGAGGCATGGCCAAGAGCTGCTGAGGTAGAAAGGTTCTGGTTTCTTTCCACTTTTGTTTCTCAGAATGTTGTTTTTGCCCATATCTTCACACTTCAAAATAAGACAGAAAGTAGTTGGAAATAAGTGTTTCCTAGTAGTCAGATGATCATATACTTACAAAGCTTACACATGGGACAGCAGCATCCTGAACTTACAGAATATAGAGTACTAATAGGAGTGTAAGTATATAACCATTACCCTTTTAAATTGGAGATGGTTTATATTTATGAAAATGCAAATAATGAGGTCTCGATCTGAAAACATTTAAAATGTATAATTATTAGTGAATATTTTTGTGACATATTCAAAGTATTCTACAGACTATGTAAAACAGACAACATCCATGTCTAACTGCAGTCACTTACACACACACACACACACACACACTGTCCAACTACAAACAGGCATATTTGTTGATGTTAATGCATCATTTACCTAAATAAGAATTGACACAAATAAAATTAGTATAAAAATAATGTGGTCCAAAAATGCATTAAATACCATATTGATAGAAAGTTAATTAGTTAAAAATTAATTACTTTCCTAGTTTCTCTCCTTGTTTCATACTAAATGCCATGCTCTTGGCATGAGCATATTATTTGCCAGAGGAAGAAAGAAAGAAGAAAAAAACGAGAAAAAGTGAAATAACTGTGAATATCAGCTTTAAAAATTTTCAAGTTTGAAAATGCTGATACAAGGCCACAGGATGACCCATTGCAACAATGATAATCACAAGACACTATGTTGGAAATGGATCTTACAACTTTGGAGGTGAGGAGTGTGGAAGGTAGTGGAGAAAAGGGATAGTGGGAGAAAAACAAAGGAAGGGGTAACAATGCTGGACAAGAAATGTATTCATTACCTTACTGATGTAACTGTAACCTCTCTGTACAGCATCTTTATAAGAAAATAATATTTCAAAAAATTCAACTTTGCCGGCGCCAGTGGCTCTCGCCTGTAATCTTAGCTACTCGGGAGTCTGAGATGTGAGGATTGCGCTTCAAAGCCAGCCCTGGGAGGAAACTCCGTGAGACTCCAATTAACCACCAGAAAACCGGAAGTGGCGCTGTGGCTCAAGTGGTAGAGCGCTAGCCTGGAGCTGAAGAGCTGAGGGATAGTGCCCAGGCCCAGAGTTCAAGCCCCAAGACCAATACACACACACACAAAAATCGTTTAATGTATACAAGCTTAGTGGTTAAAAAAAGAAAAAATTCAGGTAGTTACTTAAAGACTTAAAATGCCAATGAGAAGGCATAATCACGTTCTCATGTTATTTTCCTCTAGGACACTAGATGGCAGCAAAATAATTACAAAAATGATGGAACCGAAAAGCCTTGTGTTTTTATGTTATTTTTCAGAGTAGTTACAAACAACAGAAATGGAACTAACACATTATTTCCTTTTTAAAATGTTTTTCTTAGCCATTAATATTTACAAAAGAAAAGATAGTGAGCACTGTCTTTTGAAAATCATAGGTGCTAAACACAAGGCCTGAGAGATAAGAGGGTAGTAGTTATTGAACTAAAACTTAAATTAATGAGAAATGACATTTGAAAGTTCTATTTGGTATTGAGACAGTCACTGAATCCTGACTGGATATAAATGTTGGTCACCTTAATCTCTATGTGCCCTTTTCTTCTGCAAATAGGAATACCTATTTGCTCAAAGGGTTGTTGTAAGAACCAAATAAGGTCTACATGTACACCACTTGGAATAGTCATTCTGACACTATTCTCAATAAGAGTTAAATCTTTTTTGGGTGGGTAGGGGGCAGGGGAAAAGGACAAGACCTTGCTATGTGCCTAGTCTTGCCAAGAGTATATGGTCCTTCTGTCTCAGCCACCTGGGTACTGAGATTACAGGTGCATGCCATCACAATAAAGTAGAGTGAACATCAATGAAGTTTTCTACCTCATTGAAGAAGAGGTAGAATAATATTGAGTAGATGTACAACTACTGTACAACAACCTCTGTACAACTACTCAATATTATTTTTTAAAGAAAAATTTTAATGGCTTATTTCAGTAATAAAGAGTTTTAAAATTTTTTTGCAACATCATGAATCCACATATTCTCTAGTCAGATTATTTTAAAGGAGGTACTGGGAAAGACTCAAATCTGCTTATTATTAGGGAGAAATGATATGTAAAAATAACAATAACAATAAGTAATAAACAATAATGACAACAACAATGAGTAGGATATAGCAGGAAAAAATCAGATGTGGCCATACCAGCACATTCAGAGGAGGACCAGAGAAATTCTTCAGAGGAAGTTTCTGTCTCAGGAGCTTCAAACCTTATCTGAACAAGTGCACAATTAGCAGAAAAATACTCAGAAAAAAATAAAAAAGCTGAAGTAGGAGAATATAGCAATCACTTTAAAATTGACTTTCAAATGTTGATGAAACAGAGTGCTGTGAGAAGTGGGAAAAAATCTATCATAATAGTAAATATGGAAAGTCTCCTGCCATGAAATTAATTTTGAAGTCATCTGGGCATGTCATAAAACCAGAATGGTTCAGGAAGAGGTACAAATCCCATCTGGGAAAGAGGGTTCAACTTTCAGCATGATTCAACTCTAATTGAACACAAGAACAGTCCAGGCATGAAATTCATGATTACAGAAATCTCTAGAGAGTGAATGAAGGCCCGGTGGATGTGAAGGTGTTTAGTAGGTGCAGCCACCCGACAGCTTGACCAGGTAGATAATCACAGGTAATCAGCAGAAGCAAGAGCGAGTCTAAGTGTGCAGCCACAGCGGATCAGACGCACTGCTGCGGCATAAAACTCAG